CTACATTCCACCATTGCCAATTAACTTCTCCTTGTATAATGGGTTTGGTCTCTTTTCCTGTAGGTCGTGAGCAATAGCTCTTCTCCCGAGTGGAACCATATCCTTATGCATTCGAATGAACCGTTGATGAGAGAGATCCAAGTGTTTGTGGATGAATCTCTNGTCCTCCAAGAGACCGTACCACTGCTTGCAAATCGACTTGAAGCGTAACAAAGATTCGATAGGAACCCTTTCAAGTGTCTTTTCCACTAATTCGTCAGGCAGAGACAAACCAATAATATCTTTGCATTTGTTAATTGGCTGATTCTCGACTACGTCAATATCTCAGTCATCTTCGCCGCCGTCTAACCAAAATCGCTTCACAGTTTCTCTATCTAGTTTTTGCTCTGTGATTCCTTTTTTGCCCTCGGAAAATGACGATTGTCTAGGGCCCCATACCGGAATGTTTAACCGTTTCCGGTTCGTTTGGTTTATTTTTTCTAAGCTCGTAATTGCTAAATGATTCCCCTAAGCAATTCAGATACTATATTGTACTCAGTTGGAATCTTGAAGACTTTGAGAAAGATAGTTTGGAAAACTGAAAATGCAGCAGCTTGCAACCGATCAATTGCCAGACTGGAGTTGGTAACTGATATCGAATCAGATAGTTGAAGACAAGAATTGAAACATAAAATGTCTGCAGAGACTATCCAGAAAACATCACTGAGGAGACACGTTCTAGCAATTGAGTTGAAAACCAGATCATATAAGCTACCCAAAATGGTTAAAAAAGACACGGTTTACTTTGCTGCAGCAACCAAGGCAGACCGGGCGTGTGTGAAAGTAGAAATGATAGCGCCAAAGCTGCAGTTTGTCGTTGCATCCAAAAGTCAATCTGTACCTATAAACCGTAAAACGACTCGAAATCAAAACAAAAGCTTATATACTCTGCTCCAGGCATTCAGAATTGACCAATCTACAAAAGGTTTAAAAACAAAATGTACTAACTCGATGTCTGCCAAATCGTTTATCAGTTGAACTCTGACACGTGAAGGCATCTCGATCTTAAAAGCAAACCACCTGATGGAGAAACAAAAGTTAATTCACAGACGTATGGTTAACACAGCGGTAGAAGCAATAATCAAGTACATGACACTCACATGGTAACCTCTCTGACAATATCAACAATAAAATTATCAACAATGGAATAATCTTATTGACATGGTTTCCAATGAACGCAAACCTTAGTACTCTGTGTGTATTTCTCAATCACTAGCCAAATTTAAGCATGCTAAACATGTTAGTGCCGTACTTAAACCAAACAAAAACTGAGAGAGCTAAGAAGAATAGAAGGCTTTACCTCTATGCCGTGCAAACTGAGCATCTTTTGTCATGGCATCTGCTTCGTCTAGCAGAACCAACTTTTTTGCTTCTTCTTTTTTGTATTATATCTGATGACATATTCACAAAATATCCTAAAAGTACTTTTTTATTACACCACCAAGTTCTTAGAAGAATCAGTTGCTGAGAACAGCTCTTTTATCAAACCAAACCTTCTCGGATAAGCCTCCTCCTCCGACAAATCTCCTCCGTAGTCTTGCTTTCACTCTGTTAACACAGAAAAGTTTCATCAAAGGCAAAATCACAC